GCAAAGTGAAGCAGACATAATATATTTTAAGTGATTAACAGATCTAAATGCTAATGGTTTACAACATTATGACAAAATTAAAATATATCTGTAGATGAAGTGAAACACTGTAGTGGGCTCAAATTTTTCTGTAAGGATTTGTCCAGTAAAACCTTAAAATCTTAAAATCACAATTATAAATGTTTTGAAACTGGGCTCTGATATCACTCACATGTATCTGAGCAGTTTTCATTTGTCAAGTTTCCCATTTCATATTTTGTGATATTCTGAGGTTTCATTTCACTTTTGCCTCCATTCCAAAATGTAGTTTTAGTTTACATATTCATGAAGGGTCTGTTAATTACATTGCACTTTTCTTTGACAGATCCAAAATGCAAATTCAGAAATGCTGAACCTAGTCATTTCTTTTAGTCACTAGACCCTAGAACTTACTATATTTCAAGAAAAATCTGTATTTTAACAATATTAATTTTAGCTTCCCCTATCTGTATTAAATATTATGGGCCTATAGAATGTTGTAATGTCATCTGAAACCTAGCAGCAGGGGAAATGTGTAATAACAATCTCTAACTTTGCTATCGTTCACACATCTAGTTGGTTTTGATATTGTCTATAACAAAGGGGGTGTAATGCCATGATAATAAACACAATTAGGCGAAACATGCCAGACTGCTTGACAGTTTTCCTCTTTAATCAGCTCCTTCTCCAATTTACAATCCTGTCCACATATTCTAACTATACAGTATATATTGACTTACAGTACAATGTTAAGTCTTCTATCTAATACCCCAACTTTCTACTGCCAAAATTTCCTACCCACTCCTCAGTCAAAGTTTTATGATTATGTGGTCTATGTTCTAAAGAGCATTTCTTGCATTACAGCAGTATGTATAAACCTGCCTAGAACATTAATATACTTCACATATATTGATTAAGATCATAATTTGTTGTTTATAATATTTTTAGGGAGACCGTCACTAGGATTTGACTCCACAGGGTCAAACAAAGGTCAGAGGACATCACCCACCGGCTCCACTGTGAGTAATTCCTAAGTAATTTCTGTTACAAAGAATTTTCCAGTTACATGGTTGTAATACACCTCAACACTTCAGTTCATGTTTTTGTTTGCACTTTTCACAGCTGCAGCATGAAGGGGCCTGGCACACAGGGATCCCAGTGCTGACCCCTCTCCACAGCCAGAGCGCCACGTTGGGACAGAGCATCGCCCACGCCGGGACCTCCAGAGGGTCCACAATGCCCACCCTCCTCACCCATAGCACCACCCACACCAGCACCACCCTGCTCATCCCCAAGACCGAGAAACTGTCCCCTGTGCACTTCTATGGGACTGACCAGGGCTGCCTCACAGGTTCTGTTCATTGTTATAGTTAATACTTTTGAAACACGTGTTTACTGTATGTTATTAGGTTATTTTTTCAGACCATAGGTTTGTTTTCATATGTGACAGTTTCGACTGCTCACTAGCAGTCTTCCTCAGAGTGGTCACGTGATGTTGCTGTGACGTGTACGGTCAGCTAATTTAAACAGGCTTTGGCGCTGTCTTCCTACTGGTGGGGGCAGGACGACAGCGCCATCTGCAGTCCAACTTCCTCAGAACAGATGGCGCTGTCATCCTGCCCCCACCGATAGGAATATGCCCACCACCATATTTTTAACTTTTATTTAACTTTTTTTCTTTTTTTACTTTTTTTTTTTTAATTCAGATCAGACATCACCACCAAATCCTTTAGACAAGATGCCTAACCCTGAATCACCACAGTCTGCATTCCCAGGACCTGGAAAACTGGATTCAAGTAAGGTATGCTGCAGTTATATTATTATATTACACCTATACTAAGCTCTTTAATATGTATTATGTAATTTTGTGTTGCTATTAAAGGCCCTATATTACACAAAACTGATGCTTATAAGCTTTAAGCCATGTTAGAATGTTAGATGTTACTCCATCAAAAACATACCTGGAGTTGTGTTTTGTTTGTGTCTGTCTACATCTCTAAAGCTCAAAATGCTCTGTTCCACCTTGTGATGTCATGAAGCGGTAGTTTTTATATTAACAAGTACCTTAGTACCTACCTAGAGTGTTTCTGTCAGAGAGAAGAACTGAGCCTAAATAAGCAGGGTTTGTGCGTTAAACATGTCTGAATAAAACAAAACAAAACTCCAGGTATATTTTGATGAGGAAACAACATTATAGCATAGATCAGAAAATGTATAATATGGGTTGTTTAAATGCAACTTATAGTGTTTTAGTATTTTTTTGTCGCACTGGTCTAAACTGGACTGTTACAGCACACGGAGAGCAGACGAATCACCCACATCTCTGCAGAACAGAAGAGGCGTTTCAACATCCGACTGGGATTTGACACTTTACATAACCTTGTGACCACCCTCAGCTCTCAGCCAAGCATTAAGGTACTCTCACAAGAATGACTGCTGCATCATAAAGAGAGAAAAGATGTAACAAACAATCTCATAATAATACAATCTATGTCTTTGACATAAAAGGATTTTTGGGGATTTTGCATTTTAATTTGAATTGCATTATAACGGAGCACCATTGCCATGCCAAATCCTTCAAAAGAGGAAGAAATCCTTTGCCTGAAACCCATGAATACCAAATTGAAATTCACAACCTTGCATAATTGCATATTTTAATATAAACACATTTTAATAACCCCCATATATAATATACATCACATATTATATATTATATACATTTTTATATCTTTATGCCTAATTTAATGGTGTCTATCATAAATATTTCAAGAAGAGTTTGATTTCTGCTTACTCATGTCCCTCTGGCTCAGATCAGCAAAGCCACCACCCTCCAGAAGACTGCAGAGTATATCAGTAAGATGCAGCAGGACAGAGCTCAGCTGCACGAGGAGGCCCAAAGACTCAGAGAGGAAATACAACAGCTCAACTCGGCCATCAAGTCCGTCTCTGTGCTTGTGCTTCATCATTAGTCACAGCGAGGAGGCATTCTCCTGTTAACTTTGTGTTTGATTGCGTCTATAGCTCATGCCAGCAGCAGCTCCCTGCGACCGGAGTGCCCATCACACGACAGCGCTTTGACCACATGAGGCAGAAGTTCAGAGAGTATGTGCAGGCACAGACTCTGCAAAACTGGAAATTCTGGATAGTATCCTTCTCATTAAATAGTTAAAAAACACTAAAACAATGAGTTGAATTGAAAACAACTAACTATCTAACAACTAGACCACTGTAAATAGATAAAAGATAAAGAAAAAAATAGTTTAAATGGCCAATATACAGTTTGTTTTTTTTCTGGTCTATGTTATAATGTTGTTTTCTTATCACAAACATACCTGAAGTTTTGTTTTGTTTCATGCACACGTGTTTAACACACAAGCCCTAAATATTCTTGAGTTCTTCTCTCAAACGTTAAATACTCTGTTTCACCTTGTGATGTCATATAGTAATCCAGGAAGTGCTCCACAATGTTTTTAAACTTTATATACCTTAACTAGCATCATTTGGATAATGTTAGCCCAGGAATTTCAATCTCTACTAAACAAAAGGTAAAATGTAGCTGTTAACTTGAAAACTACAGCTTCGTGACATTTTGAGCTTTGGAGATTTAGACAGACAGGGTTATTCAAACGTGTGAATGAAACAAAACACAACTCCAGGTCTGTTTTTGAGAAGGTAACAACATTATAATATGGCTTTAAGCACACAAATGACAATTTTGCACAATACAGGATATTTAAAAACAATGAGGACTGAAAGCAACTAACTAACTGAACAGCTAGACCAGTGTAGATAGACAATATTTTGTGCTGTTGCTTTGTTTAATTTAACAGGAACAAATTCATGCTTAAAGAAACTTCTATAAAAGTTTAGACAAAAGATTCAGCATGTTTACTTATTCCAAGTGTAACAGATACATTTTTCATCTGCAGCATCTGTGTGTAATCTAGCAGATAAAATAAATGTTGTGAGACAGTTATAAAATATGCTAATGTAGTCCATAATACTTTTCTGTAATGACCACCTCCCCATTATCTGCAGCAAGATAAGAAGATTAAATCAATATTCTTCTTTTGGTGTGCACAAAAATAGCCCAAAGCTAGCTCCATGAATATTCAAGTCTTAAATTTTTTAGGATTTCTTTAGGCTATGTGCATTTTATCAACTGTACTTGAGTGTGAATTAAGATTTCTGTTGAATATTTGCAGTAAATTAAAGTTTGTGTTTTTAGACTTGCAATCCTTCAGTCGTCCAGGTTACATCAAAAGAAAACTGAAATCTGTCAACTGGTCAAAGTTAATGAAAATATTTCGCCACTCATCCAAGAGGCTTCTGAACTATTGTCCAGTTGACAGGATTCAATTTTGTTTTGCAGTATATAGCATTCTGTTTTCCATGTGCACAGCTATAAACTTAATCATTTATTTATGCACCTGTTCAAAACTGCCTTCAAATAATTGCATCTCCTTTATCTGTTTCTACATGTGTGTTTTGTCTGTCTTAAACTGTGTGAAGCATCTTTGAGTGTCATGAAAATTATTATTATTATTATTAGTAGTAGTAGTAGTAGTAGTAGTACTAGTAGTAGTACTAGTAGTAGTAGTATGTTTATTGTTCTTAACTTAGCCTCAGTTCAGCATCATAATTGAGCCTCTCTTTGAGTCCTACAATGGGATGGTCTCCACTGCCAGTGTTGAAGACCTGTGTCGCTCCACTCTGTCGTGGTTGGATCAGCACTGTTCACTACCTGCCCTCAGACCCAGTAAGATCGTCTTTATTTCACAACATTACCGTTAGATTTATGTATGTTTTTGTATGTGATTCATAGGGCTGCAAGATTTTGGGCGGGGGAACAGAGTTAAAATTTTTCTGTCGAGTATTGCAACTACTTTTGTGATTTGTGTAGGATTCTGTTCAGAGCTCTAATTGTAAATAACTACACTAACAATACAAGTCCCATGAATTTGAGAACATGTATGTAGAGGTTTAAAACTACAGGTATAATAAGACGAGATATGTTGCGCTTTGCATTGTACATTCTAGTATCTAAATCAGTAATTCCCAAAGTTTGCTGTGCAGTGGCTCCTTATCAAAGCAAAAATCACACAGGGCCTCTCCTATAATAATTTATTCTACATATATAATAATATGTAATGTTTTCTCTTTAGATTTATATCCTAAAACACTACATTCCTCTAGGCTTAATACCTACCCTGCAGTACTTTTGAGGCCCTCTCACTTTGGGAACCACTGATCTAAATAATAGCAGTATTTGCGATTTTCTAACATCACACAGCACCACACACACCAAATCAAATTGTGATTTTGTTCCAGTTGCAGTATACTGTGCCGCCTTACTCATTCATTGTTTTTTCTTTTTAGTGGTTCTGAGTTCTCTTCGTCTCTTGAGCACGACCACAGCTATCCTCACAGACCCCAGCCTCCTCCCAGAGCAGGCCACCCTCGCCGTCACACAGGGGACCCCCGCAGCAGCCCTGGACCACTCCTTGCAACCTGCCACACATGAGAATCTACACCCCATGTAATGTAATGTACAGGGGACATAATGCCTTCTTTTGTGAGCCTTACATTTGTCTAACTTACAAGCTGCTAAAGGGATGTTTTTACTCCACTAAATATTAAGAATTATAATTGTTTTGTTTTTATCATATGTTGGTCTTATTTTTATGTGTATTCTTTTTATTGCTATGTGTTTGAAGCAAATTTTCATCTAAAAATATTAAAATATTTTCAGTCTTTGATATAGTATTCATGGTCCTTTCTCTTAAAATGCAAACTGTACTTGTAATTGAGTATAATTCTAGTTGTAAATTTTAGAGCCCGAAATTGTAGAGCCCGACCGATATATCGGCTGGGCAACTGGATACATATCGGCTACCGGCCGATATGCTTGCTGATATGGGCCGATATTTCACGTGGGCATGTTATACCTCGTTATAAAGCTTAGACTCTCTACATTATGTTCATTTAATCCAATTTACAGACAGATAAATGTCCAAATATGTGGCTCCACATCAGTATTTATCTGCGGTGTAATTTGTCTGTGTCTGTGTCCGTACTGTCCCTGAACACACCACCAGAGTCACGTCACTTCACTCACGTGCATTTGTTTACACCCGCAGCCGTGGGCAACACTGAGATTATATTCTTTTTACGGACAATCGGTTTGAGTCTGGATTAAAAGGGCTTTTATTAGTGCAGACTTGTGATGTGAGGAGGAGCCTGTGTGAGCGCTGAGTGTTGGAAATACATCGACTTTGAAGCTAGGTTTTGGCTATTTGTTATTAACGATTAGCTGCTGTAGCTCCTGCACATAAACAGGCTGTTTTCTATTGGTCTATTGTAAAGTGACTATATTGGCCGTATATTTGTTACTGGACCTGCATTGATATTTAAATGAGCTGTGAATAGACGTGTGAATGATCCACATTTATGCATATAATTAACTACCGCGGTGCGCAGCATTTTACGGCTAATAGCGCTAGTTTATTTTCTAGCTAGGAGTTACGGGTCGGTCGCGATCGAAGCGGCTCTTAGATCCGGCTCTTTGAAGCGAACAACAGGAGCCTGCTTCTTATCGGGAGCCGTGTTTTCTCTTTTTCTCACTTTTTCTCTTCAAGCCGCTTGTAGACCCGTAGTTTGACAGCAGCAGCGGCTGAAAACGAAACTTTCAGAAATCTGCGTGTGCATAGGATAAAAAAAAAGTGCATATTTGGCTTCAGTTCAGCATAAAATTAATAAACCAGGACTAATCTTGGGCTCGAGAGAGATAGAAACCGAGTCCCGACACTCAGTCCTGGTTCAGTTCTGGTTTAGTCCTGTTTTACACATGGTTTAAATCTGTTTTAGTCCTGGTTTAGTCCTTTTTCAGTCTTGGTTCAGTTCTGGTTTAGTCCTGCTTGCAACAAAACAATCTCAAGAGTGACTTGGGAGCCGAAAGAGCCAGCTGCTTTAGTGAGCCGAGCCAAAAGAGTCGGTTCTCCAAAAAAAAAAACTGGAATACCCATCACTAGTAGCTAGAATGTGATGCAAAAATGCCATTAGGCCAATCTACTGTATGTAAATATGACGTAAAGAGTCAGAATAACAATAAATGTTGCCTAAATAAACCCAATTTAGAATCCACTAGAGCCAAACCTAAGTTTTTTAAACAATTCAAGATTTACTGTGAATTTTTACATCACTAAATATATCGGCGATTATATCGGCCACAACAAAATCCATATCGGTCGGGCTCTAGTAAATTGTATGTCATTACATTTTAAATCATAGAAGTGATACTGTAATGATACTGTACAAGTCCCGATCATCCCAGTGTATGGCTGTCTCACTGCGGTCTCTGCTTCTTTCTGTACCCACAAACATGGATAACAGCACGACATTGCCTTCTCTGATTGGTCAGATGTAATTACAAAATTTAATTAAACACATAATAGGATTTAGAATGCAACCAAGAGGTACATGCAGTCTCACTATCAGTAACTCATTTGTGCCTTTTTTTTAGAAGACTTAATAATTTTACATTTTTTTGTTTTGTTTTGTTTTTCTGGTATTTAATAGTACAGAGCAGTAGGCGGAGATAGGGGGTAGGTGAAAGCAGGAATTTTCAGAAGGACAATATTGGGTTACCAGTGTTGGGGAGTAACAGATTACATGTACCGGAGTTACGTAATCAGAGTACAAATTATGAGTAACTGTATTCGGTTACAGTTACTATTTCAGTGAGTGGTAATTGGATTACAGTTACTTGGTTGAAATAAATGTATTACAGGGTGGTATTTTCCTGTTTTCACATTTTGGGCTATACCCTTTTTTTTTTTTTTCCCCGGTAATTCCACTCATTGCCGGACACTAAACCAGGTATAAACCAGGTCTAAACCCAGGTCTAAACTAGATCTAAACCAGAACGAAACCAGGACTAAACCAGGACTAAACCAAGACTAAAACCAGGACTAAAACTAGGTCTAAACCAGGACTAAACCAGGACTAAAACCAGGACTAAATAAGGTCTAAAACCAGGTCTAAACTAATCTAAACCAGGACTAAACCAGGACTAAAACCAGGTCTAAATCAGGACTAAAACCAGGACTAAACCAGATATAAATCAAGACTAAATCAGGTCTAAACCAGGAGTAAACCAAGACTAAACCAGGTCTAAACCAGGTCTAAACCAGGACTGAACCGAGACTAAACCAGGACTAAAAGCAGGTCTAAACCAGGCCTAAACCAGGACTGAACCAGGACTAAACCAGGACTAAACCAAGAATAAACCAGGACTAAACCAGGTCTAAAACAGGATATAACAGGACTAAACCATGCTGTGCGGACCTTGTCTCCTTCTTTTCTATCAATAATATTTTTAATATGGTTAAGTAAAGTTTGGGCTTTTTATTGTCTTTTAGCAGACAAAACATCTTATTTGAAGATATCCTGGTCTTTGCTGCTCTACAGCAAATCAAGTAATTCAAAGTATTCAGATTACGTTACTCACTTTAAGTAACTTTATGGATTATGTTACAGACTACATTTTGGGCAATGTAATCTGTAATCTGTAGGGGAATACGTTTTAAAAGTAACCTTCTCAACACTGTGGGTTACTCAAACATGCATGGATCAATCAAAATACAACTCTGAGTGAGCTAATAATGATGGATTTTTACATGGTTAAAAGCTCATAATAGGCCTAGTCAATTTTACATACAAGTGCTAATAGGCCCTTTTTAATATTGAAAAACGTAAATGTGAGACATCCTTCATAATATTGTTCAAACAGCCCCAACAACAGCCTCATTCACCAGCACTAGATGACGCTGTCCAAGTTCTGAACGCCGTGCTGCTGGTAGTACCCCTCCATCTCGACAGGAGGGGCTGCTCCACAAACGGGGCGTGAGGGCGCAGCTAAAGCTTTTTGTTCCCTGCGCTCCTCTGTGCGCTGTCCACTTCAGCACCACCACCGAGCCGAGCCGAGCGGAGGCAGCAGGCTAACCACCCCGAGGAGGAGAGACCATCACGGATCTGCATCTGCACCAGCCCCGATCCCCCTCCAGCAACACGAGAGAGCCCGAAAACAAGCCCCAAAACACGCCTGTGCGCTCCCCGACGCCTCTCCAAAGGTAAGACTTTTGGACAAGCTGAAATAGTCAAGTTAAAAGCTGTGCATCTGCGAAGAACAAGCTCATCTTTCCTTCCTGGTTCATTAATACTGTATGTCCAGATTAAGGCGGTGTTTACGGTGGCCTCTTGCACTGGTTTTAGCCCATATATTTCTGCATTGTTGTTTATCCCAAAGCAAATCCAAACTGTACCCGAGTGTTGGAAAAGCACGTTTAGGTGAAGCGTCGCTCTGCAGATGGTGCGGGTTCAGTGTTCGTCGGTTCCTGTAGAGCTAGCGTTACGCACAGTGGCCAGCTGGTGTTTCTTTCAGTGCCCTGTCCTTGCTGAGTGATATCAGATATCAGCCGCACGCTTACGCCTCACTCCCCCTTTGTTAAATTGTCGGGCTGCTGTATTGTGTTGTTAAAGGACCGCTATTCAAATGCATTAGACGCTCTTACTCACGCGTTTGTGTTTGCGTATTTAACCATCACCACAGATTACCAAAAGTTTATATGTTAAAGTATCCACATCCTTTGTAATAAAAACAGTGCGATCTACTTTTACGCTTACTAGTATTAAAAGTATAGTAGCTTTATTATTATTTTAATCATATCAAATTCCCCCAATTTTTACCCTGCAAGCCACAATCTATATTTTGCATGCATTTGTATTGGTATTGAATTCCCTGTATCAATTATTTATTTACCAAGGTTAGCTGCTGTTGCAAAGTCGTATTTTTGCTGCTGAAGGTTTAATAGTTCTTACTCTAGCTTAATTTGTAATTTGGTTAATGGTTGCTATAAGCAAGTTTGCTGTAAAATTTCACAGCTAATACACAGTCAGGTTGGTTTAGTTGTTATTCAGCAATGTTTTGAAGCTAAAAAAAAGTAACCAAAGTTGGCTGAAATGTGTCTCACGATGATGCACATTGTAATTTAATAAAAGAACAATTTTTTTCCCTCGAGATTGGATTTTACTTTTTGTATTATTTGCCAAGCGCTGTTCATGCCGGCAAACCAAATCCTGTGTTTTCTCTCCAGCGGACCTTATCTCAGGCTCCACATGAATCAGTAATCGGTTCATGACATGCGACTGAAGGAAAAGGAGAGAGTTTGTGGGAGCGCTGTGTGTGCAATGGGCAGTGACAGTGTTGACCAAAACCTTGACTATGTGTCCACTTGGTCCCAGTAAAATACTCAGAAAGACAGTCTCCCGTTTTGTCCCTCGTGTAGAAAGGCGAGATAGAGGTGAGGCAGGTGAGGTAAGAGGCTGATAGAAGGATTACTGTGTATTAGGCACCGCATAGACAAGAGCTGTGCTGGTGTCTATAGTCTCCCTCAAGTGACCATCTCAAATTCAATGTGCAATATTCATTCAGTGTATGTGTAAATATCTGAATTTAAATTATATATATTTTAACATTTTGAATACATTTGGTTGAAATTGAATATGATAATAAAAAGGAAAGACATAGGAACTGTGCATGATCAAAAGAATAAAAAGGGGGCCA